CAACTCCATAGACCAGAATTAAAGGCTACTGATTGGTGGTGGTGGAGGGCAGGGGGAGGGAGTTACAGTAAGCAATTAATCTTGTTTACTGACTCCCAGGCACTCTCCTCTCTGAAAGGTTTGCCCACAGTGAGAACACCAATCTTGATGATCACTGGTCTAATTAGAGGTTTCTCAAAGAGAAGCATTGGGGATCTACAGTGGATGTGCGCCTCTTGCGGTTACTTGCCATCGCAATCCACACGTTATGGATGATGATTATACAAAACACAAAGTCCTCTAAAAAATCTAATCATCAGAGTTAGAATGATCCTCTGCTGGCTGTCTGTCTGCCACTAAAGGTATAAATATTTGACCTAATTTCTCAAAAACAGAAGTGTTTTACATTGTCACAAAACAAGGAAACATCTGTGCACCAAAACCACTGCATCGAGATGTGGAGTTTTTGGAGCTTGGAGTGTCTGTGCAGTGTTGCATTATTTGTTTATCACAAGTATACAAAGTTACACAGCAATTCCAAATATTTGAGGCATATTTCCTTTCAAGGGTTCTTTTTTGTGCTATTTATAACTTATGTTCTTTTTAAACCGAATGTAATTCTATCTGTACATTGTGCTATTAGATTTGCTAGAATATGTAGCGATTGGCAGAATATTCTGTTGAAGCATAGGTCTTTCTCCTACTTGCCAATCAATTCTTTGGAATAGAATATATGCCAAAGAAATGCAGGGACATGAAGAGCAAACAAAAACTTTCAGAGGCGGTCCTTGTTTTTTCCAAGCATAGCAACCAAGTGCATGTGCTGTGGTTGCTATGGTAACTCCTTAGCCGATGCTGCTAGCAGTGACTAGGGACACTAGGATGAGAGTGACTGAAGTCGCTCCGTTCTTACGCTGGCAAAGAAGCCAGTGTGTTGGCATGACAGAAGAGGTTTTCCTTGCTTGGGGAAGTGTTCCCAGGGCAAATCAAAGAAGTCATCAGGTGGTGCATGGCGAAATTCTGCTGAGGGAGGTCTGTATCAAAGTGTGAAGTGGGTCCTTACATGGTCAGTTTAAAAAACAATATGACTGTACTGGTAATAACATGACAAATATAATTGTTATGGAAATGTATATAGGTTGAGGGGGAAAAAGATCATCTCAGACTTTCACACATCTGCTCCCACTGTGGATTCATGTTATGAGAGAACACCACATGGCCACAGAGTGCAAGCTCACCTGACATTTTTGCAGTAAATCTCAATTCTGAAACCACATGCAGTGGAACTAACATCCTAGTTCCATATTGTGCAGATAAATTTGTGATTACCCCTGGTCTCGTCTACTGAGAGTCGAGTTCAAGTCAAATATTTTCATATGAACGGTATTCGCATTCAGTTCTTTCTTTCATTTATAGTCTTTAGTGTGGGATTTTAGTACTTTTTACATCACCGTAATCTATTTACGTAACTGCTTACTTTTTGGCATTTTTTATTTATTTTTTAAACCAATAAAATGTTTATGGGGGGAAAAAAAGGGAAAGTGTCTAACTACGTCTCGGCTTATGTTTATTTTTTTCTAAATACAGGATTACACAGAGATTTGTTCTGCATCATTTCCTGCTGTCACCCACCGCATTATCCCTCATAAACAATCTGTGCAACACTTGTGGAATAAACTTTCACCTAATTCTCAACAGGCACTTTGTGGAAAAAGTGTACTTCCGCCACTAATATATTCCAAATCTCAACAGATTCTGAGAGCGAGAATGAGTGGCAGTGAGGTCAGTATTGTTCACACTTCTCTACTACACGGTGTACATATAACAAACATCTTTTCTACCCTATCCCTGCAGAAGCAATACGATGTTTAAATAGTTACACAGTGGTGTACAGAAATAAATATATATATACACCAGTATGTGTGTGTGTGAGGGGATGTTCCTCGAGCTTAATCTACTTTATGGCCCCAGAGATGCGATTTTACCTGGTGGGAGGTGGGAGGGAGAGGGGACCTGCAGTGCCAGGAAAACGGATTGTTTTCCTGACACTGGAGAGTCCCTTTAAACACTAAGCATGGTTTACTATATATAAAACGTAGTGTTTTGTTTAGTTGACACTATAATTATTCCTATAAAACCACCGAGGGCGAAAGAAGAATTTTTGTCCAAATCAGCTATATTTTTACCGACATGGTTCAATTCGGCTTCCCATTCACCTCAATCCAGTATTTGGTGACTAAACCCCACTTGTTTGGAGATGGAGGTTAACATTTTTTTTTATTTTTTTTTTTAACTACACAGCATATAAAAAACATGAAAAATCCTTTCAGAATGTGGGGTTTTGAGAGGAATCCGGTGTACAAATATTTCATATTACATTTTCGACCACTTTCCTTAAATTCAGCAAATTTGACAGAGCAGCTGACAGATCTACAAGGAATTCTGCTTTCTCTTCATTAAATGAATCGAAATGATTTCCAAGGATAAGAAATAATAAATTGTGCCGTATTACGTACGTTCCTTTGATTGTAACAATGTGTTCTACTGAATGGGCTTGCTCCTTGAACTCTTTACTGTCCAGGGGTTTGGAATGTGACTGAATAAATATCTTTCACACAGCCTGTCTGCTTTTTGTGACATTATGTTTACTTAAAGCAAAGCCGTCACTTCTCTGGAAATTACACTATTGAATAAAAAACATTGAAAACCACATACAACGTGTACAAACCTTTTTTTTTAAATGTAATTCTGTTCTCTAATTCCCTGTAAATTCATATTAAAGATTCTCCAAATTACATCATACTTCAGTCCTGGTACAGACAGGGCACACAATGCAAGGAGAAACAGAAACATTGTTTAATTTCTTCTCTTTTCTATATACTTTCTTGATAATAACTGTAGAACTGTATAATACTTCAAATGCAATATTCCACATGTACTATAATAGAACAAAGTTTACCTAGTATTTTCTAGGAATAGGGCGCTATACCACACAGAACGGGACCACTTCTGTTTTACACAAACTTCTATTTTCACAAACATATAACGGAGTAATGGGTAATTAATAGGTACTGCGGGTTGCCAGTGATTGGCTGAGTGAATCAATTGACGCTCTCAGCCTGTTGCGCAAGCAAATGCTTGACTCAAAGAGAGAAAGTCAGAATGCACTTGGAGGATTTCACTTAACTGTTAAACAATTCAAAAATGGTTTAACATTTAAAGCTATGAAGGCGCAAGTGGACTCCAGGCATCATAACGACTTACTTGACAAGTGGTGTTGGTGCGTGAAGTGGTTTGTTGAAATAGCATTACGAAAATAGACAGTGACCATCCTTTAATATTTGTGGGCAATCAGTAGCCATAGTTGAAAAGTTTATTAACAGATTAGTCATGAAGTCATTGTATCTGCATCAATTTATTGAATACATGCAGACACATTTCAAGGACAGATGACATAGAAACCTGTAATTCTAGGGACCCAGCCAGCTATATTTGTGAATCCACTATACAATAAAAAATCACGCATCCATGAAAAATATTGTGTGTTGATTACTCTGTTAATGAGGAAATGTACAAATATTGCATCTGTTTCTCACAGCAAAGCTCCTGTTGCTACGTCCTTTTAGATGACTAGTTTGGTGATGGAACCCGGTACAAAACAGGGCAGATATTATCTATAACACACTTTCAATGCAAACAATACATTTGCTGCATAGGAGAACGAAATCATACATAACCCTTACATGCTGAAAATATAAAGATCTGTTTGAGAATACTGCAATACATCTCAAAGTAGACACCAGAGACCATTGGTACAAGTCTTGAACAACTTATTCTTTGCTAAATAATGGCCAAATCGATAGCAGTTACTACCTATCTAAATGAAAGTAACTGTTAGGCTTGAAACAAAATCACAGGGTCTCATAAACCCTTACGCTGCCATGGACTTATGCACTACCACGTTTCTGCTTTCCCTGTTTCTGTGTAAAATCAACTGCCGGGAATACTCAAAGAAGTCACACCAGTTCAGATGGATTATCAATAAGCATTCAAAGGTTTAATGCGTCGTACATCGTATATATAAAATTGCATTAGTCTACTGCGCATGTTTACATGAAAACAAGGAACAATTGCTTACTTGAGAGTCTTATCTACAAGCTTAAAGCAAAAGTAACATTTTATGAGAAGGAAGAAGCAGCAGCTGCTGGCACAAACACGAGTAAAGAATTTAGCTTTCAACACCTGCAGATGTGGAAGGACCTAACTTTATTTACGTTTATCTATGACAATTCCCCTTTTCTGCCACCACAGGTGAGAGTTCTAGACAAGGTATATCCAGGTATACTAGTTATACCTGTGGGACTTTAATTAGATCTTTACTTTGCCATCTCACACCAAAAAAGTCATCAAGGAAGACTTGTCCAGATATCTGTTGATAACAGGATAATAAATGTTATTAAATCCACGTCTCATTTGGCAATACATCCATAGGTTAAAACAGGTAAGGAGAAAGAAAGGACATATAACAACAATTAGTGGGTGCAGTACTTTGTTTAAGACTCCTTTAGCGGAGGAAGACCACCCTGTAAAATTATGGTACCAGTGATGTCCTGTATCTACCACTATCATGTATTATAATCAGGCCTACTGACAATTTGGTCTCAAGCTATGTATACAGTATAACTTTAGCTATGTAATAAGAAGCAGAAAGCAAGACATGAGACTGACACCCTGTAACAATATAAATCTCTGTATGTCTAGGGGAATATTCACTAAGCATTGCATAGGTAAAACAATTAATTTTCTATCAGTAACTAAACTCCA